CATCCAACAAAGCTGGTAGAGAATTGACGCAAGGGAGAATTTCCTAAGTTGAGAAGGAGGCTGATGGGATTTACTTCGGGTTCAGTCTCAGATCCAGTGCTCAGAACTTGTGCTGCTCCTCTGGCAAGTCTGTCTGCCCGTTTGGCAGCTCTGGACCGGCACGAGTCTCTTGTGCTGAGTGTCTGCATATTACTGAAAGTTAAGCTGTGGCATGGTTGCTTTCTTTCCTGGTGCAACTCTAGCCATGTGTGTTAGAGAGTGCTTAGACTACAGCTGTGTGACACGGCTGAGAAGCTATTTATGGTCACGCTCCATTTCCACAAACACTTTGAACCTCCTCCACCACCTCCACAAAAGTTTGAGCTCGTTGCTGAGTTGTTTTGGAGAGCCAGGACATGGGGCTGAATCCATGTGATGATTTCTTGTTTGCTGAAGGTCTCTGGTGCACTGGGGATGGATAAGGATGCGCCAGTGAAGCTGCAGGCTTGGGGGGAGGCACGGTTTGCCATACTTGATGTTTTTTTGGTGATGTGGTTGTCGCATAGCTGAACTTAGACTGCTCTTCTGTGGGCAAAGGAGTTCACTGATGGCTGAGAGGAGGGTGAACCTGATCACGGCATGGCAGGAGAGCAGCAGGCGATCGGTGGGGTTTCCTGCTGGAAGAGGGAGTCTTCCCTTGTTTTGTGTTTTGGGGGTTGCTTTTCCCAGTGGTTTTCCTGGACAAGCAGAGGATTGGAGCCGTCCTCCAGGCTTCTCTCTCCCAGCCCGTGGGCTCTGCTCTGCGAGCGCAGGTTGGGCACGCAGCTTCCTTGCTCGCAGCCGGACGGGCCGGGCGCTGAGCAGCGCCCGGCACAGCTTTCTGGGAATTGTGGATCTTTGTCTTCCAGCTGTGCAGGCAGGGCCTGGGAGGGATGGGATGCTCCAGGATGCAGCAGCTGCTGGGTGGCCCTGGGCGCAAGTCTCGGCGCCATCCCTCCTGGAGCAGCCCGGATGGGCGACGCGTCAAGGCGTCGATCCCGTCCCGCGGGCGCTGGAGCCGCGGGCCGGGGCGGCCCCACAGCAGGCTCTGGAGACCCCATGGCTGCGGGAGGCCCCCGGTGCCGCCCGGCTCCCGGGTGGCAGCTGTTCTCCCTAAGGGGCAGTGCCGCCCTCGAGCCGGAGGGCAGCCGGAGCGGCCCTGCCGCCAGGCCTGCCGGTT